AGGGGAAAGGGTGCCTGCTGGTTCAGACAGTAATGAAAGATGATCTGGAAGAATCTGGCAAAAAGACTAGCTAAGTTTGGCCTATTTCATCCAGTCTCTCCATGGCCCCTAGTTCTACACATAATGCTACATAAACATAACCCTAAAGAGAAAGAAGCAAAAAGGAAATACCAACTGGAGGCCTTTTGAAAATGAATCTCAACTCAACCTTCCTGATTTTCAGTAAGATCCTTCGCCACGTTAGTCCCAACACGGGCTTTTCAGTATGCAACAGTGGTGGTTCCCATTCCCTAAATCTGTATCGACATAATGCATCAAATCCTTTTCCCTCAATCTGTCCCCAGCGAGAATCTCCCTCAGCCTCATTCCTGCCCCTCATTTTCTCAAAGGTTAACATTTAACAAATTACACTCCCAACCTCTTTCCAGACCCATCATATTTTTAAGTTCAACAAGAGTGGAGCTTTCTGGCTAATTTTAAGTATCACATTTCTCCCTGAGCTCCCCTCAAACTGCTCTCTGGTTTCGGCTGCAGAATGTTAACAGGCCAGAAAGCACAGGGGAGACAGGGTACTTTATCAGTTTCATACCTAAAATAATAAGCAAGTTTAAAATAAACAGTTGGGAGAGATTGAATGGCACGCTCTACTGTCAGCAAAGGCAGAAATGCGCCAGTCCAAAAGTTGACAAATGAGGGGACTGGTCTTCTGGTTTCATACAGAATCTCGTCTCTGAACTCAGTATGTTTCTGATAGTGTTTATAAATGGAGCTGTGCGTTCTCTACTTAGTTTTCTTAAGAATGAGTTCATGAAATGTCTTCTAGTTTCCTTACAAGCTACCCCAATGAAGATGTGAAAGGGAGCAACCCAAGCTTCCACAGATACCTGCTGCGGGGTCCCAGACTTGACTATAGAATGATGACAATTTGCAAAAGGCCAATTTAACAGCAATTGGATTTTTCCTGCCTGCTTGCACCATTAGCTGACAACTCACTTCTCCATCACATCTGCAAACAGTTCTCCTAGACAGTTCTGACATTTCCCACTTAGAAAAGTCACTTTCAGGAAGTTATTAACCCAAACGGAATCTTCCTGGTCAAGCTCAGGGATATAGAAATGCTTCAGGTGGGCAGGTTTGCAGCCATTTGGTTCCCAGTAAGTGACAAGAACTTCTAAACAGGACAATTTGGAAAAATCAGGCCACAGATGTCAGTACCTAAGACAAAATATCTAGATGTGTTTATAGCACAGTCATAAAAAAAATCCCATTTTTTGAGAGTATAATTCCATGAAAGCAAAGACTATGACTTTTGTTGTTCACTACTGTGCATTAGCACAGTGCCTAGTTCATAGACAAAATACTTGCTAAATGAATAAATGAATGTAGTGTTAACTGTGTACCAGGCTCTATGCTAGAATACTACATGTTACCTCATTTATTTTAATGCCCACACAAGGCTGTAAGGTAGGAATCAACAAAGGGAACTGAGGACCAGGAGAGTAAAGTAACTACCCATGGTCACTAGCTGATAAGAGCAAAATAGAGGAAAACTCTCACCTCTGCCAAAGCCATGCTCTTTCTACTACATCCCTCCCTAAAATATTGGCTCAGCCACTCACCTGGAGAGGTCCTTATATTGAGAGTCTTATTGAAATTATCCTTGAGTGCTTCCATCACAGACTTCATTTCTTCATCAACCTCTTCCAAGTTGATTATATCTTCAACCAAGGCAGTGTTAATATTCATTCTAGTTTGGGACTGTCCCTTCCCTTTGGCTAGAAAGTAAATAAAAGAACAGCAGCATAGACAGAGAAAACAACCAATTGGTAAAGGGTAAAATGTCAAGTGTGAGAAATTAGAAAACATCTCTGCCCTTAAAATAGAGCTTATATTTACTGTCAAATAGGTACTTGGCATTATGCTAAATACCTTCTCAGCTATCAGTGAGGGTACAGGCTTTATCTTCAGACAGCCCAAGTTAAAACCCTGCATACAAGCTTCATGGCCTTAGACATATCTTTCTGAATACTTGGTTCCCTAACTGTAAAAGACAAATAATAATATCTATATAGCAAGATTACTATAAGAACACAAGTTAAATCATTCAAACACCCAAAAAGCACAGTCCAAATGGCATGAAATCTATAAGTGAATTAATTCCTTATTTTTCAGAAAAATAAGCAGAAGATGAGAAAGGCAAAGTGTTATGGTTTGAATAATGGTTTGTCCACAAACTATTCTAAACAGGAATGGAAAGTGGTTTTAGTGACTTGTTCATGGTGACTGGATTGTAGAGGTGCCTGTCTCATGAATGAGTTAATGCTGTCTCCTGAAAGAACTGAATGAGTTCTAATTTGTGAAAAAAAGGTTAGTTCTTGTAAGCAGGTGGTTATAAAAGAGGACTGAACTGCCTGCAGCTCACTCTCCCTCTCTTTCTCTCTCTCTCCACACACACCTGCCAATCTCTCTGATTCTACCAGCCATTTTATAGTCTGGTTTGATGTCAGCCCTAAGCCTTTGAACTTTTCAACCACCAGAATGGTGACTCAAACAAATCTCTATTTCTTTATAAATGACCTAATCTTGGGCATTTCTGTTAGCAGTACAATGACAAACTAATACACAAAGTGACTTGCCTAATGTCAGCAAAGGGTAAGGTCAAGATCTGGTCCTAGAAATACACAATTTTAAATCTATGAACTTTCCATTAAATCATCTCCACAAAATCTAATTGGAAAGAAACAAAATATGGTAATTCATTTAAAAATAAATACTAGGACAAGTATATGTACAGTATCTGATGGCTAGTACAGACAAAAGGAACAATAGTTTAGATATACTGAACATTACCAATGGTGATGACACTGGCTTCTATTTTAGAAAACTACAGCATTGGGCGCTGAATAAAATATTACTTTATGTGTAAACCCATCAATGTGATTTTTTTTTCATACACACTCTACTACATACTTAAACATATGTCACTTCCATGAGTAATACAAATATTCTCACATTTTTAAATAGGGTATGAGAAAGGAGAAAAAAAAATTTATTTAAATAACATTGGGCCAGCCCAAGTTAAGGCAGCTATATCTCACATGGCTGACTGTGTGGTTCATGTCCTGGAACTAGAAGCTTGAAAAACATGCTGTGCACATGTGTGTGTGTATGCCCAAATTCCTAAATGGGAGAGAAATGAAAGGAAAAAAACATAAATTCTCAACAAACACAGTAAGTATAAATGGATCAAAATGACCAACTAAAAGCTAGAGATTCAGGACCAGTAGATGGCATTAATGGTTATGTTGCTAGACTCCTACGTAATCGACCATGGTTCAAGTCCTGGACGCTGTAGTGTAAAACTTATGCTGGGCGTATGTGCATGTGTGCCCAAGATCCCGAGAGGAGAATGGAATAGAAAGGACTGAGGTATGGCCATTCCCACAGAGGGTGATTTCTTGCTTTCTATCTCTCTGTCTCTCTAATGATTGCACATGCCCTATATAAAGAAAAAAAGAATCTCTTCTTTAAAAAAAAGTTAGAGGGAACCAGCAGTTAGCGTAATGGCTATGTCACTGGACTCCCACGTAGTCGACCATGGTTCACGTCCCAGACCCGGTGGCTTAAAACTCACGCCGGAGTGTGTGCGTGTGTGCCCAAGATCCCAAGAGGAGAATGGAGGAGAAGGGATTGCGACGTGACCATCCCCCGGGGGGTGATTTCTCGCTTTCTGTCTCTATGTCTCTCTCTGTCTGTCTGGCGAGTGCACGCACCATAAAGCAAAAACCTCTCCAAAAAAAAAAGTTAGAGGGCCAGCAGGTGGCATGGTGGCTGAGGTGCTGGAATTCCCACATGGCTGGCCATGCATGGTTTGAGTCCTGGACCTGGCAGCTTGCTTTTTCTCACTCTCCCTCTCTCTCTGTCTTTCTCTGGCAAAATTCATGTGAAAAATAATATTAACAATAGTAATAATAAATAAGTAATTCTTTAAAAAAATAAATTAAAAAAAGTTAGAGATTCTCATTAACATTTTTAAAACTCTGGGACCAGCAGGTGGCGTAATGGCTATGTTGCTGGACTCACACATAGTCAACTGCGGTTTGAGTCCCGGACTCAATGGCTTAAACTCATGCCAGGCATGTATGCGTTTGTGCCCAGGATACTGAGAGGAGAACGGAGGAGAAGGGATTGCATAGCCATCGCCCCTAGGGGAGGGAGGTGATTTCTTGCTTTCTGTCTCTCTCTCTCTCTCTTTCAGGCGAGCACCCGCACCCTATAGCAAAATCTGTTACAAAAAAAAAAAAAAGATTTTTAAAAATCTAATCATATAAAATATTTGACATATTACAAACATATAAGATCATAGAAAGTTTCATGTATAGAGACAGAAAATTACAACCCTAGCAAAAGAAGTTCCAGTGTATTTACATTAAAATCAAACAAAAAAATTTTAAGAAAAAATGCATTATTAGAAATTATATCTGTTCCAAATATGAGCTGGGAACAATCGCTTTCAGGAACTAAGATTCAAGATTTTCTGCTGAGACTTTACCCTTCAGACCCCATTATAGAGTGGAGAGGCAAAAATGTAGGCCATCTGAAATGCCTACTGAATTTGAACGATAAACAATTCCTTTCAGGGACTAAGACTTAAGATTTTCTGCTGAGACTAAATCCTCCTGACCCCATTCTAGAGTGGGAGAAAAACAGAACAGCAGAGAGATGGCAAATCATCTTCTGCATACCTCTGAACATTCAGATTGAACTTCAAGAAATTAGGAAGACACGTATAACCCATCAGATGACCAGAAATCACCACAGGGACACAAGAATTATGAGAAATCAAGAAAATACTCCTCCCCCAAGGAAAAAGAATAACTCCTCGTCATCCACAGACAGTACAATGGAACTCACAGAAATGTCTGATAAAGAATTTAGAATATTCATAGTGACAAAGCTAACAGAGATGCAAGAGAAGAGAGATAATAAGCTCCAGAAGATGCAGGAGAAAAAAGCAGACGAGTTCTAGGAGGTGAGGAAGCTCTTGCACCATCTGAAAGAGGAAATACACAGCATAAAAAAGAATTAAACAGAACTGTTAGGGATAAAGGCTGTAATACAGGAAATCACAACCTCCCTTGAAAGTATTAAATGCAGGCTAGCTCATACAGAAGATCAAATCTCAGATGTAGAAGGCAGAATGGCTGACAAATCGACCACGAAGACTAAGAAAATAGCCAAAAAAAATGAGAATAACATATGAGAAATACTAAATACCATTAAACACCCAAATATCTGGATAATCAGTATCCCAGAAGGTGAAGACATTAATAAGGGCATTGATAAACTATTCCATGAAATCCTGGAAAAAAACTTTTCAAACCTAGAGAGGCATTGAAATACCAGACCCAAGAAATACAAAGGACCCCCAAATAGGATCAACCCAAAAAGATCTTGTCCAAGACATATTATAGCCAGAATGACCAAAACCACAAACACAAGATATTCAGACTGGCAAGAGAGAATCGTCAAGTTACCTACAAAGGATATCCCATCAGGTTAACAGTGGACCTCTCATCAGAAACAATGCGAGCAAGGAAAGAATGGGAAAATATATTCAAAGTGTTAAGGGAAAAACAATTTCAACTAAGAATACTATACCCAGCAAGATTATCCTTCATATGGGAAGAAAAGACAAGAGAACATTCTCAGATAAACAAAACCTGAAAGAATTTACCAACACCAGACCAACTCTCCAAAATAGTTCTGAATGGAGTTCTATATCAGAAAAACAAAATACAGACACACAGAAATAAGAGTTTAAAAACAATTAAGAAAATGGCCAGCTTAACTATAGGGACAAGTCTGGAGCTGGATGTTATGTTCCAGAATTTAAACTGGAAGACAGGATCACAACAGAAGATAGATTAAGTACGTGAGACTGAACTGGTGAAATAGAATCTTATGATTTTTGTTTGCCTAAAACATTGCTGATTTTCTTCTATGCTTTGTTTTCCAGATTTAAGGATTTTTGTCTTCTCTTGAGCTGTTGATAGGTTCAAGTATCTACTATTTGAACAGAATCTACTGTAGGAGGCAGGCCAGTCCCATAGCACAGCGGTTAAGTACTATGTGGAGTGAGCCACATCCCACACAGCCAACCATGGTTTGAATCCCAGCCCCAGTGGCTTGGGAAAAAAAAAAAAATGCCAGGCACATGCACACATGCCCAAGATCCTGATGGGATGGCAGAATGGTGGAAAAAGGATTGCACCAGGCTCCATTAGGGGAGGAGAGGGACTAGTATTAAAAAAAAAAAAAAAAAACACTTATAGGAAGTACTGAAAGTCACACTTAGGTGAAAATGTATATATAGCCTTACCTGCTTATAAGCAAAGGACAAAGCATTATTCACAATATACAAGATAAACAACTAAAGTGCCCATCAATAAATGAACGGATAAAGAAACTACACAAATAATGATAGAATATCCCCTTTTCAAAATGCTTGGAACCAGAAATGTTTTGGATTTCAGATTTTTTTGGATTTTGGAATATTTACATATACATAATGAGATATCCTAGAGATGGGACCAAATCTAAACAAGAAATCTATTTATGTTTCATATATATACTTCATGCATACAGTCTATTAGTGATTTTATATTTTTTTATATGCTGTATTTTTACTGCAACCATCACATGAGGTGAGGTGAATTTTCTACTTGTGGCATATCAGTACTCAAAAAGTTTCAAATTTTGGAGTATTTTAGATTTCAAATTTTCAGATTATTTCAGGGACTATTTCAGGGATATTCAACTCTCTATATAATAGAATATTATTCAGCCTTAAAAACAAGGAGAGGGGCTGGCAGGTACCACGGTAGTTTGGGACACTGGACTCCCATGTGGCCAACCACAGTTGGCCTATTGATGATTTCTACACCAATACACCAGGTTTGAGGTGATTTATACAACAGGTTTGAATTCTGGACCTAATAGCTAGCTTTCTCGTGTTCCCTCTCTCTCTCTTTCTCTGGTCAGATTGAAGAAAGAGAATAATAAACAATAAATTTGAATAAAGTAAGTCTTTAAAAAAAAAAGGAGATCCTGCCATTTGCCACATCATAAGTGAACCTGGAGGGCATTACGCTAAGTAAAATTAAGCACAGACATGGATAAATATTGTATGATCTCACTTACATGTGGAATCCCCCCAAAATAAATAAATAATACACAAAGCTAGAGAATAAAACAGTAGTGTCCAGTGGTGGAGAGAAGGGAGAGGAAATGGAGAGATGTAGGTCACAGGACACAAAGTAACAGATACACAAAACGAGAAAGTCAGATATACAACATGAGAACTACAGCTAATATTGAATTTTTACTAAACATGAGAACTACAGCTAATATTGAATTTTTACTAAGAGATTTTACACACTCTGCCATTAAAACAAATGGCTAACTGAGTGAGGTGATGGATGAGTTAACTTGCTTGACTTTTAAGTAACCATTTCCCTATCTACATGTATACTGAAACATCATGTAACAATGAAATTTTTAAAAAGAAAGAAAATGACTGAAAATTAATGAACTAACTGTCCAGCTCAGAAAATATAAAAAGGATAAATATATAAGAAAAAATAAATAAAGAGCAGAACTCAATAAAATCTGAAAAAAAAAAAAGAACAAAATCAACAACTCTTTTCAAAAGGTTTATAAAACTGACAAACTTCTGTTAAGAACACCCAGAAAAAGAAAGCAGTAGACACAAAAAAATAATATTAGGAAAGAAGAGGAGAGCCACTAGTGGCATGGTAGTTACGGTGACTGGATCCCACATGGTCAGCTCCACAGTTTGAGTCTTAGACCTGGTAGCCTGAAAAACATGCCAGGTTCATGTGCATCTCTGTGCAAAATGCAGAGAGGAGAATGGAGGACAAGGGACTGCAGTGTGGCCATCCCTGCTGGGGAGTGATTTCTCTCTCTCTCTCTCTCTCTCTCTCTCTCTCTCTCTCTCTCTCTCTCTCTCTCTCTCTCTCTCTCTCTCTCTCTCTCTCTCTCTCTCTCTCTCTCTGTGTGTGTGTGTGTGTGTGTGTCTGGCTCTCTCCATAGTGGAAATTTTAATAATCTTAAGAGAGTATTATGGGGGCCAGAAGGTGGCACGGTGGTTGGGGCACTGGACTCCTACATGGACGACTATGGTTCAAGTCCTAGATCTGGTGGCTTGCTTTCTCATTTTCTATCTCTATCTCTCTCTGGTCAAACTAAAATAATAATAAATATAGTTAAAAGAATTATTTTTAAAAAAGAGTACAGACAATGTTTTACCGACAGCTCTAAAAACAAAATTAAAAATGTCCTATGACATACAACTTATTGAAACTCTTGGGGCTGGGAGGTGGTATAGTGGTTAAGGGCGCTGGACTCCCACATGGCTGACAGCAGTTTGAGAACTGGACCTGGTGGCTTTCTCTCTCTCTCTCTCTCTCTCACTCTCTCTCTCTCTCTCACTATGTCCCTCTCTGGTCAAATTTAAATAAATAAAGTTAGATAAAATAATTCTTAAAAAAAAACTCAATAAATCAAGAAGAAAGAAAATATAAAGTCTCATAATCATTAAGAAAACTATAGATTCAAACATACCCACACACAAGTACAAGAACATACACGTATATCAAATCCAGATACTTTTACGGTTAATTCCATCAAACATGCAAGGAACTAATAATGCTGACCATCCCATTAAGAGATATAATTAAGAGAGGAATGTATTTCCCAATTTACATCATGAAGCTAATAAAGTCTTGACACCAAAAGCAGAAGATAATACTAGAAAGTTAAGGCTGTCAACATTAATGAGTTACATTAAGGATAACCTCACAGTGCCTTTATATACTCAAATGCAGACTCAAACATCGTGGTGGTTAAGGTGCTAGACTCCCACATGGCCAACTAAGGTTTGAGTCCTGGACCTTCTCACCCTTTGCCACCTCCTCCCCGTTTCTCTCTGGCAAGTGCACGTACCCTATAACAAGTTAAAAATAATAATAATTATAAAATTAAACAAATAATTCTTTTTAAAAAATTTAATGCCCATTCAAAAATAAAAACTTTTAACAAAATTAGGATAGAAGATATTTGCTTAAAAAAGACAACCAAAAACATAAAGCAAAAAAAATTCTTGATGTTAACATGCAGTAAGTATTCTCAGGTCAGCACTGCAGTGTGGTGGTGAAGGGAACCAGATCCCACCTGCCTAGCTTGGTAGTGCAGCCAATAGCAAAGAAACTGCACTGTGGAAAGCCACGTGACTGACTCTGGGTTTGGATCCCTGGGTCCACCTGAAAACATACCAGATACATCTCAGGCACCCAAGAGCCAGACAAGCTGGAGGGCTAGGGAATGGGGATTGTGGTTTGATGGGACCCTGTCAAGGGTGCTTCTCTTTTTCTCTCTTGCATGCATGTACACGCACACTCTCTCTCATAAAATTTTTTTTTAATCTTATTTTTTACCACTGTTTGAATCCTGGCTCTGGCAGTTTAACAAACAAGCTAGGTACATGTATATGCATGCCCAGAATCCCAGAAGGGAGAGCATCAGGAGTTCCAGCTTTCCAGATCTGCAATTAATTAGATGACCATGGGCAAATCTCTTTCTTTTTTTTTTTTTTTTTTTTTTTTTTCGGGGGTTTACACCAAGGGGGCGGGCCCCCCCCAGACAGAGAGACAGAAAGCAAGAAATCACCACCCCCCCACCCGCCCGGCCAGGGAGAATGGCCACATAATCCCTTCTCCTCCATTCTCCTCTCGGGATCTTTGGCATGCATGCACATGTGGCCAGTCTGAGTCTAAGCCACCAGGTCCAGGACTCAAACCATGGTATACTATATGGGAGTCCAGCGACATAGCCATTATGCCAACTGCTGGTCCCAACCATGAGCAAATTTCTAACATCTATTCCTCAGTTTTCTTATTTGCAAAACGGTGAGATGTGGAATCACTTGATAATCATAAAGATTTCTTCAGTAAAAAAAAATTACCATTTCTTCAATAAAAAAATTTTAAGTATTAAATAAGCAAATACACAGGAACTTCTAAAAAGTATACGGGACCAGTAGTTAGCATAATGGCTATGTCGCTGGACTTCCACATAGTCGACCGTGGTTCGTGTCCCGGACCCGGTGGCTTAAAACTTACAACAGGCACATGTGAATGTATGCCCAAGATCCCGAGAGGAGACTGGAAGAGAGGGGACTGCAGCATGGCCATCTCCCCTGGAGGGTGATTTCTTGCTTTCTGTCTCTCTGTCTGTCTCTGTCTGTCTGGCAAATGCAAGTGCCCTATAGCAAAAAAAAAAAAACTCTAAAAAAAAAAAGTATAATGCAACATACAGATCAAAAGTTATTACAACACTATTATCACTAGTATTTTTCTCTTTTTAGAATTACTTTAATTTTTAAATTATTATTATTTTAAGTTTGTTATAGGACACATGCACTTACAGGGGGTTGGGGGAGAGAGGGTACAGAGTGAGAAAGCATCCCACCAGGTCCAGGACTATGTTCGGCCATGTGGGAGTTCAGCGCCTTAACCACTATGCCATCTGCTGGCCCCACAACAAAAGTTTTCTAAGTACTAATGGTCTCTAGCAATTTGTTAATCATCTTATTCACAGAAAGAAGATCTACACAAAACCAGAAAAGGAAAGTCAATGAGAAGTTATTTTGCAGCATTTTCTTAGCACCATCCTTGGGCACAGACACCCCGGCTCACCACTACAAATAGCGACCTGCTAGACAATTTCAGTCACTCATTCATTAATTCAATAACATTTCTGAATGCATACTGTGTATCAGACCCTTTTATGTGCCGAATAAGAGAGACATAGACCTTATCTTCATCGGGTTTAGAGTGGAAGAAAGATAATAAATAATAATCAATCTTACAGTTAATTAATTACTGCTGTTCTAAGCACATTAAAGGTAAAATAACACTGCATACAAGTGCACATAACAGGGGACCTGACCTACTCTAAGAGGTCAGGGAAGGCTTCCCTGAGGAAGTGGCATTTAAGCTGAGACCTGAGGTTCATCAAAGTCTTATTCTTGGATGACACAAGCCATTAAGATCATTCATCTAAATCCACGGCTCTAATATCCCCCTCACCCAACAACCTTCTGGTTTTAATTATACTCCCAACATGCATCTTCCTATAAGGAGAGCATAATGTTGACCCTTGCTGTAGCATTCTGGTTTGCTTGGCACTTACACCTTTAATTCTAAATCTAAAAGGAAAAAATTGGGCATTTTCTGAACCACCGAGAAAACAAATGGCAATGGAAAAATAGACCCTGGGTCTTAATGCTGTCCCTGTGACTGTGACCTATAGAGCTAATCAACAGAATTATCTGAGACACCACTTCCTCATGTGGACAAGAAGAATCTAGTGCATTTCTGAGATCCCCAGCTATGATAATTCAGGGTCACCTATAAGGGGGAGTGGGGAGGGTAGTCCATGTCTTTACCTTTGGTTTTCTTGGTGGCAAAATGGCGACTTGGAACAGCTGCACAGGCCACGAATTGCCTATGGTCAGGCTGTCTTCCATTCATTATTCTTGGTGTAACTTCTGTAACAGGTCTGGTCAAGGCTGCAAGGTAACTGCGAAAGGCAGGGTGGACCAAGCGATAACACTTTAATCCGAAGGCCATGACTGAAGGCAAACCTTGTGCACATCCGCTAAAAAGACAAAAAGGAGATCTAAATAAAAAATCCTGCTGTAACTTCAGAAAATAATTTGTACCAATTAAGAAACTCCTATAGAGAACCAGCAGTTAGCGTAATGGCTATGTCGCTGGACTCCCACGTAGTCGACCGAGGTTCGCGTCCCAGACCCGGTGGCTTAAAACTCATGCCGGGCGCGTGTGCGTGCGTGCCCAAGATCCCGAGAGGAGAATGGAGGAGAAGGGATTGCAGCGTGACCATCCCCCCTGGGGGTGATTTCTCGCGTGCTCTCTCTATGGCTCTCTCTGTCTGTCTGGCGAGCACACGCGCCCTATAGCGAAAATCTCTCCAAAAAAAAAAAATTATAAAAAAAAAGAAACTCCTATAAACAAAGCTATGTACTAGATAATGTAAATATATTATCTCTAGTCCTCCTCCCATTCCCAATGGAATTTTTTTATTTATCATTATTACTATTATTTTAATTTACTATGAGTACACGCGCTCACCAGAGAGAGATGGAGAGACAGAGAAGGGAAGCAATAAAGAAGGATATCAGGTCTGGGACTGGAACCGCAGTTGGCCATGTGTGAGTCCAGCATTCTCACCACACCACCACCTACAGGCCCAGAAAGAAATATTATTGGCCTCATTTTACAAGATGAAGAAACTGAGGCTCACAGAAATTTAGGAACCTGTCCAGAGTCTATAGGACTCCAAACCCTAAGTTTCTTCCACTGCACCAAAATGTCTCTCCAGCAAAAGTACAGCAGTCTAAACCTTTAATGATCCTAATTAAACCCTTGAGAAAACGTACAAAATCTTGATAAAGTTTAAAGAGGGAGAGCAGAGCACTAGAAGAAGACTTTAAAGTAAATAAGAAAACCATTTCAACAGGCATAAAATGACTGGAAAATTCACACGACAGCATTTAATTACAATTTTCTTTGGTGCCTTATGCGCTGATTACCAATTAGAATGCACTTTACTTTAATGTGAGTGGGAAACTTGATTGAGGTTTGAGGTCTCCCATGGTAAAGAACTAAAGCTCTGGAAAATGCCACCCTCCACTGTGTTAACACAAGTTACACATTATACTTCTGAGGCCTTTGGCCATGGAAAGATGCTATCGCCTACAGCTATCTCTGGGCTAGAACAAAGTCACAGCTAAGTAACGAATGTAGCACTTTAGCACTGTAGCTTGTGCCAGGAATCTGGCTATCACTCAGCTAAAAATTAAGAACAATTAGCATCAAGTACCTGGAAGTTACTATCTTTAAAAACCAGTCCCATTCTTTACTTGGGGAAAAAAAAATGCCATCCTAAATTTTTTTCTTTATTCATGATAGAGCACGTTCACCGGCAAAAGACAGAGACAGAGACAGAGACAGAGAGGAGCACTCGCCAGAGTCTGGTCAGAGGGAAGTCCTTTCCTCCAGTTCTCCAGTTCACCTGATTTTGGGCACTAGCCCACATGCCCAGCAGGTTCCAGGCCCACTAGACTGAGGATTTGAACTAGCTGCTATGTGGGATCCAGCTTCTCTTGAGCAGTACATTATTGCTGTACCATGGAGCTGGATTCTACAGCCTAAATTGTTGATGTGGGATAATGGAGTGAATAAGAGCATGGGCTCTGCAGCCAGAAAAACCTGGAATTCAGTCTCTGCTGCACCACTGAATGCTCCTAAATAGCCAAGCCTTGATTCCCTCAACTGTAAAATGAGGATAATTATACCTAGTTCATAGGGTCAGGAATAATGAATGAGGCTATGTAGGCAAAACACTTGTGACAGGACCTAGCAGAGAGGAGGAGCTCCAAAAATGGCACCCATTGATGGCTATCCCCTTTCCTTTCAAAGACATTCCTGCAGGGACCAGTAGATGGCATGACGGTTACATCGCTGGGCTCCCATGTAGTCGACTGTGGTTCTAGTCCCAGACCTGGTGGCTTAAAACTCACACCAGGCACATGTTCGTCCATGCCCAAAGTCCCAAGATGAAAATGGAGGAAAAGGGATTGTTGGCATGGCCATTCCTCCTGAGGGGTGATTTCTTGCTCTCTGTCTCTCTCTTGTGAGCACATGTGCCCTATAGCAAAAATCTCTCAAATTAATAAAAAATTTAAAGTTCCTGTCAGGACTAGACATAATAAAAAAAACCTTGTATGCCATTACTAACATGCACGGTAGCCTAGAGTCAGTCAGGCCTGGATACAAATTTCAGTTTTGAGTAATACCCTTTCCCTTCCAAGACATCACTTCCCACACTAATGAATAAATAAATTAATTAATTAAATAACTGTGATCTTAAAATAAGTAAGAGTGCATCTAAAACAGCCAGCAGAGTGCCTGGAATTTAGTAGCTACTTAATCAATGGTGGTTACCATTGTTATTGTTACCTTTTTAAAAGAAAGGCAAATGAGTACCAAATTCTCTCTCATGATGGAATTCACAAGGGAAGACAGATGTCAATGATCAGCATATAAAGTCTATAAAAACAGATCTGGGGGCGGCAAGTGGTGTGGTGGCTAAGGGGTGAGTCTCTCTCTCTCTCCCTCTCTCTTTTGTCCCTCTCTGGTCAAATAAATAAATAACATTAAATAAAATAATTTTTTAAAAAAGATCTGGATTTAATGTGGAGTTTATTTTTTAATATTGTTATCAATGGCTACTAATAACTGATGAAGGGTCTGGGCTGCTCTCTTTACCAATATCACTTCATTTCATCTTTTCAATAAAGCCACAAAGAAAGTATAGTGATCCCCATTTTCCAGATGCTGAAACTGAGGCTCCAAGCGATTAAGTCACCATTTAAGGACATGGAGCTAACAGCTGAGCTCTGTTTTAGCAGAACTGAAACTGAGCCACAAAAGTCTGGCTCAGAACAAGGTTTCTATATCTAGGTTTTTGCCTAATATAGCAAATGCCTAACTCACACGTACATCCAAATATGGCTGAATAATAATGTGTAGGTTTTTGTTTTGTTTTGTTTTGTTTTCAATCAGCAGAGTCTCAATCTGGCTGTTCCATTTAAAACAGGTTTCCTGGTATTCCTGTTGCAAGTCATAATACCAATCCACAAAGCAAGAGGAAATCAAAATGGGTTAGAAATAAACAACCTTTGACAGAAAATACAGCACCCAAAGTAGACCCAGTACACGTGAACCGGAAGATAACTCTATAAATAAACCACATTGCTGAAATGCTTCAGGCGTAGATTTTAATTGCACAGAAGTCAGGAAATTTCAAAGTAGAAGTTCAGTAAAGGTAGTCCCTTGGAGTGCAGTCCCTTAAAGACCTGCACATTAACTTTTGGCTCAGAGTAAACAAAGACTTAAAAGTTGAGGGAAGAAACTCATGAAAGCCCAAGAAAATTATCCACAAAATGAATTTATACGCAGAAACAATGTAGCAGAAGTACCAGGGCTTTGGACACAGTCTGGAAATGGCTTCTTAATTTTCCCACTTCCAGTGCTTCAGTGTCCACATGTCATCATCACAGAACTATAAATGCCCCTTTAAAAAGATCACTGTAACAATAATAATGATATAGTGATACTATGTGACAGAAACTATTCTACGTGCTAACTTTAACTCATTTGAGCCTCAGGATGTACTACTATGTAGTAAGTGCTATAATCATCCCCAGTATACAGATGAGAAAACGAAGGCAAGAGTAAATAATCTCCCCAAAACTTGAATTCAGGACATCTAGTTTTTAACCTGTATTCTATACCATGGACATAAATATTCAATGTTTTGCCTGGTACCCATACATCCACAATAAATAGTTTTTAACATCCCAATCATTGAAATATTTTTTCAAACTACTTGAAGCACACAGTCTTTTTTCAATGTTGAGGTCTCAAAACTTAAGATTCTCTTTTTTCCATAAAAAGTAGATTTTAATGTTGGGAACACCTAGATAATAACTGAAAGTCTTGTCTTAATCTGTTGTTCTAGCAACACCTTCCAATCCAGCTATATATTAACTTATAATATGTACATATGTACATACATGAAAACCCTCATCATATATAAAACACATTCATGTGTATTTTATTATTTGATTTTCACAATAACCAAAGAATCATGATTTACCACCTACATTTTACAAAATAACCAAACTGATCTTTAATTTCTTCAAATGCCCCTCTTGCCCCAGGTCTTCAAACATGCAACTGAATCCACTTGGAATGCTCATTCCTCAATTCTTTAACATTTCCCATTTTTCTTTCAGATTTCAGCTTAATCATCCCCTCCTCAGAAGATGCCTTCCTTGGTCACTCCTCCAGTCCAACTAAGTCAGGTATCCTGTAGAGTACTTTCAATTTTATTATTTTTTAAAACTTGCTAGAAGGCACAGGCACTTGCTGCAAAGGGACAAAGTGAGAATGAGGAAGAAGGGAAAACCATAAAAGTGCATCCCCATGGGGTATGGTCATGCCACAATCCCTCCTCCTCCTCCATCTTTTAGATTTGGCGAGCGCACATACAGGCATGTCGTGTTTCTCAAGCTGCTGGGTCCAGAACTTGAACATGCAGTCAGCCATATGGGATTCAGCTGCTTTAACCACCATGTGGACCCTATAACCACATTCACAACACCCTATACTTCAGCATAGCACTTAGTCATTTTGTGTGTGTGTGTGTGTGTGTGTGTTGTTTTTTGGATTTTTTTTTTTTTTTTTGCCTGGAGGGCCAGAAAGAGACAGAGAGAGGGTAAGGGAGAAAGCACCCCATGGGGTAGGGTCAAGCTGCAACCTCTTCTCCTTTCAAGATTTTGGGCACATATGCACATGTATCCAGCATGTTTTTCAAGGTCCTGGGTCTGGGACCCTAAACCATGTGGTGGTCCGTGTGGGATCCAGCTCCATTAGCCACCAGGCCACGGGCTGGCCTCATAGCACTAAATTTTTAACAAGATATTTGTGTGATTATTTGATTATTGTCTCATTCCCTCCAAATAAGCACTACAAACTAATCCACGGTTGTCTCATCACTGTTTTATCACAAGGGCCTAGCACCTTTGTCTAAACACAAAGGACACAGGATAAATGTGATTCACAATATACAAATGAAATTCCAGGAACACTAAGTCCTTGACCATGGTCAAAATGCTGGCACAGAATTGGAACCCACATGTCTAATGGTAGGATCTGGTCTCTGTTTCCCTACACTGCCTCTACCATCTTTTAGTTTGTCAGATTTTTGTTTAGAGATAGTAGGGCATGTTCTTCCCTAAATTCCCTAAATTGTGGTAGCTGACAATACACAGAACCAGCAGAATCATCATATCCCTGGCACAGCTAAAGGAGGGATAAGACACTTTAAACAAAGAAAGATCTTTCATCTAGGAGCTAGGAGATCTGGATTCCAATACTCCTACCCCATCACTGTTTGCCATCTGGCCCTTTTAAATTCATAACCACCTGTATTCAAAAAGCATTTGTAGCTGCTCTACCATAGCTATGTGACTTGTATCAAGTCGTTTCTCCACCTAGGTTTTGTTTCTGCAACTATAAAATGAAGGAATCAAATTAGGTTTTCCAATTATAAAGCTCTGAAGAGCCTGAGAAATGCAATGGAGAGTGATTAAAGGGAAAGGCACCAAATTTAGAAAAGACCTGAGATAGAGTTCTGGTTCTAGCACTTCCCAGATATGTGACCTCAATTTCATCTGTAAAATGGAAATGACAGTATTATTATATTTGTCAGGATGATGTAAATGGAGATGGGCTATTGAAATGACAACTGTGTTGTCACAGGGCGTAGAGAGTAGTGGTTAAAAGTTCAGGCTTTGGAAACACACAGGCCTAGGCTTGAACTGAAGTTCCATCAATAACTGACCGCATGACCCGGCAAAGTTACCTTTTGAGCTTCCTTCCGTTTCTTTTTTCATGGAGGGGATAACCATACCAATCCCCAGGAGATTGTTCGGAAAATTAAATGTTCCTGTAGGTACTAAGTACTGTGCTATAAAATAGCAGCGACTATTAACTAAGCGCCCCCACTCCCCGCATCCCCTTAATTCCTAGCTGGAGAGATGAGCTCCGCCTTCAACCGCTGAGACTCTCTCTGATGCGACAGGTCCCGCCCCCAACCTTAAAGGTCAAGCCTTGAGTTGAACAGGTTGGGGTTGTAGTCCGGTCCCCCAAAGACCCCCTCCAGAGGCTCCTCAGTAAAGGCCTCTGGCACCCAGACCCTGTGTGCGCCTCGAGTCCCAGCCGAGGACACTCACCAGCTACAGCCCAGGTTATTGGGGAGAGACTCGCGCGAGCACGGCGACGGCAGCGGCGCGGGCGGCGTGACGTCACGGAACCGCGTCGCGGCGCAGACGTAGTGCGTCACCGGCGGCCTGGGAGCAGGGCGGCGTTGAAGCGGTGTCTAGAGGGCCGTCGTACCACCGAGGCAGGACCTGTTTTCGGGGCATGAGCTGAGGGCACAACGAGGCCACGAGGTGAGTCCGGCCGCGGTGTGTCCCTGCATCTCGTCGCAGGCCCCGCGAAGAGGTATTGCAGGAGACTGTCCTCCCTGGATGGCTTTTGAGGCCCCGCCCCGGATTGTCCCGCCGCTGGCCCGGAAATAACAATCCGAGTATTGACTCCTCGCCTCTGGGAATTCGCGGGCAGGAATCGGGAAGTCGGGATTCCAGGCTTGACCCCGAAGTTAACCTTTAAGAATAAGTGTCTTTGCGATTTTGGACCTCAGGTTGTTGCAGTTCTGCTGGGAGGATAGATGTGGAAGCGTTTTGTGAACTCTTAATCTAAGGAATCGTTGCCATTGCAAATTTAATGGATTTTGATACTGCATTGTTTTGATCTTTCACTACACTTTAACGTTCTTTCAAAGCCCCGTCCAGAGCTTTCGCCGATAATCTCTTAGATAAGGCTCGCTACGACCTCTTGAGTAGGGATGATTGTATCCATTCTAGGCAGGAAGAAGAAATTGAGGCCCCAAATGAAGAATTGGCTTAATTCCCTCATTAAGTAAATATTGAACACTTCCGTGAGCCAGGTAGTGTACTCAACACTGAGGATAGAACCATGATCATGATTGGCAAGGCCCCTAAGCCCTCTAAGACCTCACATTCCACTGAAGGAAACAAGATTTAAAAAATAGCACATTACACCAGCATTATATGCCTAGAAAAGGTTGCTGTGATAGTAAGAAAGGGCTCTATTCTGTTAGAGAACACTTTAGTGTGGAGAGATCATGTTTCTAGCTGAATTCACAACAGCTACGTGCAAAATCCACAGTTTGGTTACAGATCTCTCTAGCCCCATGCCCTCACCTTTCCCACTAAAACATGGTACTTTGGGTGGTTTTAAGTAACTATTGCTGCTTTGGACATGAGAAAAACCAGAAATTCTTGTCATTCATGAATATCATATCCTTTAGAGAGCCTTTCCCTCTCCACTCGGTCTATTCCAACCCCATGTTAAATCAGCCTACTTGATTGTGTTCACAGCATTATCACTAACTACATCTTGCTTACTTATGTTGCTTTTGTTTTTTCCTGTGCCCCTTCCAAATGTAAGTACCATAAGGGCAGGCATCCTGCTTGTTCACTGCTCTCATCCCAGCATCTAGACAATGCCTAGAAAATATAAACTCAATAAATTTATTTTAAAGGAATGATCTGTAGGCTGGAGAGAAAGGAAGCAGGGAGAGGACAAAATGCTTTCATTCCTGGCATTCTGTTTATGTCTGTTTCACCTCTCTCTCAGGAGAACTATGGCTTATTCATTTCTCTCTCTTCAGTTCTATTTTCAGTTCATAGCCCAGGGTTTAACAGTTTGTAGTGGCTTGTTGCACTTTAAAGATGTCTGTGGGAGGGAACCAGAGTTAGCATAATAGCTATGTTGCTGGACTCCCACGTAGTCGACCGCAGTTCGTGTCCCGGACCCGGTGGCTTAAAACTCATGCCGGTCCCACGTGCGTGCGTGCCCAAGATCCCGAGAGGAGAATGGAGGAGAAGGGATTGCGGCGTGACCATCCCCCCTGGGGGGTGATTTCTCGCTTTCTGTCTCTCTGTCTCTCTCTGTCTGTTTGGCGAGCGCACGCACCGTATAGCAAAAACCT